AGGAAGAAGTGAGGATATTTAATTAGTGTTTGAAGTATGCTAAAGTTCTGTTATTATTAAGGAGCAAAAGGACAACATTAAATAACTTTATATCTTGTCAAAAAAATTTGCAATTACATATGTGTTAAACATTTCAGAAAAGTATATGTTATATATAATACAAATATATATTTAATACATATAAATGTATATGTACTTAATGAATATATTTAATACATATATAATAAAACCTATAGCATTCAACCCAGCAAAGGAAACCAAAAAGGAAATAAAGAAAAAATATTATTGATCCAGACAAGGCAGAAAAATAGGATCAAATATGCACTAAAATGATTGATTTAAAAAGACTACAAGAAGACAATAGAAACAAGTCTAAATATCAGAAATAAACAAAAACAAATTAAACTCACCAGTTAAAAACAAAGATCTTTGGATATTATTTTTTAAGGACAAATGAGATGGAATATGATATGAGATAGAATAGAATCTAAAGAGGAAAATCATTAATATGTATCAAGCAAGACATTATATAATACAAACATCAGAGCCAGGCGCAGTGGCTCACATCTGTAATCCCAGCACTTTGGAGCACTTTTGGAGCCCAGGAGTTTCAGACCAGCCTGAGTGAGACCCTGACTCTATGAAAAATAAGAAAAATGAGCCAGCCATGGTGACATATTCTAGTATCCCAGCTACTGGTAAGGGTGAGGCAGGGGGATCACTCCAGCCCAGTTAGAGATTACAGTGAGCTATGATCACACCACTGTACTCCAGCCTGGGCAACAGAATGAGACCCTAACTCAGAAAAAAAAAAAAAAAAACTTCAACATGAAGATATGAAATAATGTACCTAACAGTTTATTGCTAAATATATAGTATAATAAATGACAAAATTACAAGAAAAAATGGCAAAGTGTTTTTTAATGTATCCACTGTAGAAGCTGGCATAATATGCAGAACTGATATATAGACCATTTTCTAAAATGTAATTAACAAGCTTGTTATGTGTATCTGTGTGATCCATAGAATCCTACACCCAATAATTAAAGATAACTCATTCATTTCCAGCACACATAAATATTCACTATGTACTAGTTCACAAAGAAATTCTCAATAAATGTTAAGGAAACAACATTTTACTGTATTCTCTGATCACAAGATAATTTTTAAAGTTATTTTTTAATAACTAGTGTATTCTTGGAAATTAAAAAGAGCACATTTAAACAACTTATGGGTTAGATTTTGTGATTCCCAAACTTTTGAAATTAAATGATAATGAAAGAACCACACATCAGGACATATAATTGGGCTGAAGTAGTAGTTAGAGGTATATTTATAGCCTTAAATTAATTGTTTGCAAAAGGAATGATTAAACTTTAATTAATTAAATGTTCAATTCAACAAGCTAAAAAAGGAACAACAGAATAAAGCCAAAGAAAGTATTTCTTGAAAATACTTATAAAATAGACAAACTAATAGTAAGACTGATTACTAAAATAAGCAAAAAACAAGAAAATGGTACAGGTAGCATAAATTAATAATATTAGGACCAAAAAGGGAACATAACTAAATATAGAATAGATATTTTTAAAAGTATTCAATAAATACCACAAATAACTTTATGTTAACAAATTCTCTAGAAAAAATATAAATTATAAAAACTAACTCAAGAAGAAACTGAAAAGAAACCAATAGCCATGAAAAGGATTGAATCAGGAGTCAATAAATCACCTCCCCCCTAGAATAATAGGCTCAAATTGTTTTGCAGATGAATATGACCAAACATTTATGTTACAGATCATCCCTATCCAATGCAAGCTATTTCAGAAAATAAAGAAAAGGGGAAATTTCTCAAACTATTTTTACTAGGCTAAACAACATGGTACAAAAAAAAAGACATGAATAGCACAAGTATAGCAAAGCTTACTTATGAAAATCGATGCAAAAAGATTAAATATTAGTAAATTAATGGTGTCATGGGTTGAATTATGTCCCCTCAAAAGATATATGTGTTGAAGTTCTAATTCCTGTGCCTCAGAATGTGACCTTATTTGGAAACAAGGTTGTTGCAGATATAATTAGTTAAGGTGAAGTCATACTAGCGTAGGGTGGGTCCTTAATACAATATGGCTAGTGTTCTTATAAGATGATGTGAAGACAGGAGGAGAAAATACCATGTGATGATGGAGACAGAGACTAGAGTTATGCAGCTGCAACCCAAAGAATGTCAAGGATTGCCAACAACACCAGAAGCTAAGATGAAGGCATAGAACAGACTCTTCCCCAGAGCCTTCCAGAAAACAGGCCCCTGCCAACACTTTGATTTCAGATTTCTAAATCCAAAACTGAGACAATAAAGTTCTATTGTTTTAAGCCACCTATGTATTTCATGGTTCTTTGATACAGCAGCTCCAAGAAACTGATACAAATGGCAAAGCAGGTGATAGGAAAAGAAAAGATTTGAAAAATCTGTGTGATAAGAATATAGAATTGATGTATTTTATAGGATTCTCTATACTTTTATTTTTTAGGTAGTACTTAGCGTTATTTAAAAAAAAAAAAAAGTCAGCCCTCTAGATAACACACGACAATGAGAGCATAGCCTGATGCAAAGAAACACATTCAGGCAGGTATATCAGTTATCTATTGCTATAATAATGCTACATAGCAACCAACCACTAAATCTGGCAGCTTAAAACAATTAGCATTAATTTAGCTCAATAGTCTGTGGGTTGATTCAGTAGTAATGCTGGTCTGGGCCAGACCTGGCTGATGTTAGCTGGGCTAACATCAAGTCATCTGCATTCTGAGGTCTTGAGTGAGTCCTCTGAATGCCCTCAGCTGGGATGAATCACCTTATTCCACATGGTTTCTCTTCCTCCAGAGAGTAGTCTGGGCATGCTCTCATGGCAAAGGCAGAGGAACAAAAGTAAAAACAAAAATATTGAAGTGTTTTGCAGGTGCCATTGGTCAAAGCAAGACAGATGGCCAAGCTCCCCAGAGTCAGAATGGGAGGAGCCTACAATGTTATAGGATAAAGGAGGCCATTAAATGATGTCATCAGCTTCTGTGATATTAATATCAAACAACAAGAACAGGAAAGGAGAAAAACTGCTGGACACAATGTGGTAAATTGAAAAAAACTCTCAATCATGATTACCCAGAGATAACCTCATGAACTTTCTGAATAAGTTGGGAGAAACATGGAAACAAGACTCCTGCATAATGTGTGGGTTGGTGGGGGATGGCCACAACTAGATAAATACTGATCTCCATTATTGCAACCCTATTTTTAACCCTATCCAGATGACTCTAGTGAGTCATTGATGATACTAGTGATATTTGCACTATTGAGTTCTACAAAAATAGTGGCCTAGAGATCTCCCCTCCAAGTATTGGGTCATAGCATTTCCCAAAGTTACCCAGAAAAAAAATCAGCATCTGCAGCAATGACCACTTCCAATCCTTCCAGGCTAAGGCTGGTGCACAGTCAGAGAAAAACCTTAAACACAGTTATCTGGTGCTTTCATTACTTCCCCTTTTAGCCACCACTGTGACTTTTCTGTTGTGTCCAAAAAACATGGCACACAGAGAAAGCCTCCTGCAGGACATTCCAGTGAAAAGCCCATCTGGCAATTCTTTTTTTTTTTTTTAAGTGACAAAGTAACATCAAACTCAGAGTACCAAGAAGCCTGCTTCCCCACATCAAACTCAGAGTGCCAAGAAGCCTGCTTCCCCTCCCACAAGGGGTTATGAGTGAGGATTATTATTTTAATTAATGACAATATTCAGAAATAATTCTCTCTTGTCTCCAAGAAACTCTTGTGACAAATGTCTCCATCCAACCTGTCCCTCCTTTCCAGGATGGAAATCTAGCTTCTTGCTCTCAGATCCATAACCTGACCTGCTGAAATTCCAGGTGAGAGATATATCCTAATTGGGAAGTGGCATCTGTACCTGATTGGTTATAGAGGTAAAATACTCCAGAACAATCTTATTCAATTATGGATTTCCCAGGGAATCACAGAAATGGGACTTTTACATGAATTACCTATTGAGAACTACAGGTATTTACTCAGTAGCCTGCATTTGGTATCTGCCAGGGATGGCGCAGAGAGACAGAAACAATGGAAATCTACTTTTATTGAAAACTTGTGGACTCCCATTTAAAAATGGAGAATAACCCAGACCCCATTCTTGCCCCTTGTCCCCACATATTCTATCTCTTGGAAGTAGCTGTTTAGTTTACGTAGTTTGAAAACATGCTTCCTGACCATTATTTGTTCTATGCCACATGTACAGACTGAGGAAAAAAGATGTGATAAATCTTTATTTTTGTAAGCTAGATCTTCTCTTCTTATTTTCTCTCCTAAATGCATAAAATACATCACACTGGTTTTCTTCTCTAGTGTCTTCATCTTATACTTTCTGGAACAAAACCATCAAGAGACAATGGTAACCAACATTTATTGAGCAACTGTGAGTCCTGTCTTCAATGATCAGTTGGCATGAGTGTAACTGAGTGTAACAAGTGTAAAATGTCAGATAAGTCTCCATGATGTGGTTAATTTTTAGCCTCTCCATAATATATAATCTCTGTCTCCTATATTATGAATTATATTGTAGACACCTGAAGACATGCATCCACTTTGATCCATTTATTGTAATAGAAACTTTGCTTATTCATATGAACTGAACTGCTTTGAAAACAGTAAAAGATAATATGAGAATTTTTTGAGGTTTAACTTATATAAAGTACACACATTTTAAATGTAGAGCTCAAGGGATTTTTACATATATGCACACCCATATAAAATCATCCAGATCAAAATATAAAACATTTTCAGCAACTCAAAGACATCCACATGCCCCCCACCATGAATATTTCCCAAGAGTAAATACTATTCCGACCGCTATCACTGTACATCCATTTTACCTACTTTTGGCTCTTTTATATGTCTTCCTCGTCTCTACTTAACACATTCAATCTTCCCTCTGTCTTCTCAATCATATGGAATATGGTTATAATAACTGTTTTTGTTTCCTTGTCTACTAAGTCTATCATCTATGTCAGTTTTAAATCAATTTTAATTGATTTTTATCCTCAATATGGGTTATGTTTTCCAGCCTTTTTATATGCTTGAAAATTTTGATCAGATGTCAGATATTGTGAATTTTACCTTTTTGGGTGCTGGAGATTTTTGTTTTCCTATAAATATTCTTGATCTGTGTCCTAAAACATGGTTAAGTTACTTGGAAATGGTTAGATTATTTCGCATCTTGATTTTAAGCTTTATTAGGTGGTACCAGAGGTAGGGCTGACTTTTCTCAATTACTGAGTTAGCACTCTACCCAATGCCCTGTAAATTATGAGGTTTTATATTCTGGGTGGTGGGAAATGGAGCCATTCTCCTTATAAAGTAATTTCTAATCACCGTCCCCACTAAGCTTTTTGGATTCTTTGTCTTAAGTGCAGCAACAGTAAGTACTCAGTGGAAGATGCAAAGGGGTCCCTCTTATGAATCTTTGGATTTCTTTTTCTACCCAGTTCTCTTCTCTCATACTTGCCCTTGAGAACTCCAATCACCTTGACCTTTCTGTACTCTCAAGTTCTACCTCCTTTACTAGGAAAACCACCAGCCTTCACCTGTCTCTCCTATCCTAGTGCTGCAATCTGTAAAATCCCTCCAGGAAGAGGCTGGGCTTCACCTACTTTTTTTCCCATCTCTCAGGGATCACTGTCCTTTGTTGCTTGCTGTCTAATATCTTGAAAACCATTGTTTTATATATTTTGTCTCAATTTTAGATGCTTTGGACAAGAGAATAAATCTGGTCCCAGTTAATCCATCATGGCCAAAAGGAAGTATATTTGTTTTGCCTATTATTGAACTTCATTAACTCAACATTACATCTAACCCATCCATGTTGTTGCATGTATCAGTAGTTTTTGGTTTTGTTGTTTAGTATTTCCACCAATGATATTTTAAAATTGGTATAGAAATTAAAAATTACTCCAAATCCTTTTATAAGAATGAAGTTAATAATAGCCTTGGTGTTCAGAAATCATGGATTTGAATCTTGGGTTGGACATTTGTTAGCTTTGTACTCTTGAACATGTCACTTTTCCTCCCTACAGTGTTGGCTCTAAATCAATGATTTTGGTTCAAGTGTTTTATAACTATTAAGTACTCAAGCACTCTAGAAATATAAAGTGATTTTAATTTATAGAATCATTGGTTCCTGGTTTTTTTTGTTTTGTTTTTACAACAAAGCAAGAATTTGGGATTTATCCTGTCCAAGTAATTTCAATTCTCACAGAAGGGTTCACTGAATGACAAGTGGAAATAAGTACTTTCCAAATAAACTATATGAGAAAACTCTTTTATAGAAGACAATGGTCACATCTAGTAGCCCAGATACTATTACTCTGTTATCGCACAATCAGGGGACTTAACTTTTCCTAGAAGATCAACCAAGGCTAGGGGGAAAAAAAGCTAGATTGTTAATACCTTTTAAACTCAGAGGTATATTTTTTTTTCCATGCCTCTTTTTTTTAGCTCAGAGGTATATTGAGTAGGCAATAGCAAGTTTGTTTTCAGTGATGTGGTTGGGCTTCAAAGGACACCAAAAGTAGAGTTTATGTATTTTCCCCTTTGGATGTAACTTTCATTATATTAATGAAGTAAGAAATTCCATTTATATAAAAGATGAGCATGCTTTGATAATTTGGTTATAATGACATTGAGCTCAGTAAAGATAAATACACTGCAGGAATCTATTCTGCAAATATAAATTCAATTTATTTCAGTGCTTTGAGTTTTCCTTTTTTTCTTAATTTAAGTGGCTGAACATTAATTATTCCAACATCAGATAACAAATTTTCATCATTTTGAGGACAAACTACTCTCATATCAAATTAAAGTGTTTGAGAGAATTTCACTTGAACCAATGTATTCTGTAAAAAATAACATATTAGGCTTAGCTTTTCTTTTCAGTGAGGACTCCTCAGGGTTTCCAAAGGCACAGGTCTTCTGAAAGGGATCTACTGCTCATCTACCACTGTCAGCTCTTCCAGCTGGCAGCCACATAGACGAACCATAGTTTTGTTTGGTTTTGGTTTGGGTTTTGGCCAGGGCTAAAAGCAAAATAAAGAAAAAGTAAATGCACTGGAGAGTGACAGTTTGGGACAAACAGAATCAGACTGCTTCTGCCATTTGTTAGCTCAATGACATTGGAAACATTGTTCAACCTCTGAGTCTGTTTTCTCAGCTATATAATAGCAGAAGCCTTATATACTAACAGGATTAAAATTCTCCATTTAAGGCTTCTAGTGCCATACTTAGCACATACAGCTCAACGGCAACTTTGATTGCTATCATTGGTGAATTTGCTTCACTCTCTATGAGTCCTTCCTTCAGAACTGCTTCCCATCTACTATAGCCAAGTTGGGGATCTCACCAATTCCCAGGTAACTGCATCTGCTATCCACATGTCCAACACACACTGAAAGCTACTCAGAATGACAGTCTTCCTTCAAACAAAATATTCCTGGTTCTGAATTTTGCATTAATATATTGTCATGTAGCTTCCTCTGCGTCTGATTTGCCTTGTTTTATTTCCTGAGCATTCTCACACCATAGTGATTTAGGAAAGCAAATTCTGGAACCCAACTGCCTAAATTTAATCTGCAGCTACAACTTTCCATCTGTGGGATATGGGCACATCACCTAACCTTTTCAATCCTGTTTCCTCATCTTTAAAATGGGGATAAGAAAATTTCCATGTTGGATTACTATGAAGACTGAAATTTAGATATATAGATATGTATACTTACATGTGAATCTAAAGATCTACATGGTGATGGAAATGAAAAACTTGTAACATGTCAACTAGACCAATAGAGTCTGTCCTTGGAATGGTGGCTGTCCCTACCAAAGATTAACTATGCCAAAACTAAAAGTTCAGCTGGGAACAATCCTGTGCCTGGACGTCCTTTGCAGAGTTATAGAGACCATAAGGAAAAGCTTCCTAGCATCTAACTTTAAGGGAAAGTGCATTGGTTTGATGCCATTAACAATCAAACCAACTTAGAAAATTTCCAGTACCCAACTGCCAAGGTCTTTCCCATAGAGGCTTCCCAAGAAATTAGGAACTGCTTTGGTATTTTAAGCTTTGGTACAGGGTGATGAGGAATGCCCTCTGGTATCCCCTCTCGCCCTGTTATTTAGTAGCTCTTAAATCTTTGTGCTTGTCTCCTAGATCCATTATTCCCTTCCAGAATAATCATATGGGTATCTTTGGTCTTAGAAAAGAGATTCAGGGTGCCCTGAAGAGTCAATATGATGGTTCATCCCCACACACCAGCTCTGTGTGGTGCAATCTTTGGGGAAGCAGGACTCCAGGTGTACCTTCTAAAAACTAACCTTGTACAGGTTAGCTTTCTCCTTTCTTACTGGCCCTATTTTTCCCTTTCCTTTTATGTAAATAGGCATGTGGGTAAAAGATAGTAAACTCACAGCCTGGAGTGAAAGGTGCATTCTCCCATATTAATTGTGACTCTTCCAAAGACCTCTCACTTGCCAGCATGCCCTGTGTTGCCCTAGGTTGCTGCCTGCTCTGCCTCTTTTGCCATTCAGGACTTAGCTATTCTTTGAGTAGGATGCCAGCCCTGGGCCTGTGCAAATGGCCCTCCTTACTCATCTTTGCCTTCTTACTGCCTCACACTCTTCCACCCTGACATCAAAGCTCAGTTTAGTCAGTTGAACCAGATTTCTGTTCTCCCCCTCAGCCAAACTGTCATAAGCCATGTGGAATTAAGTGATGTGAACATGTGTGTGTGTCTGTGTGTGTGTCTGTGTGTGTGTGTGTTTTAAAGAATTTTCAAACTTTTGGTAAAACTAAGTTACTTGAATATTACTTGGTGCAGAAGTTGGCAAGGAAATAATGCAAGGGCAGGAACACTTGCCTTTGTAAACTGACTTGTTGAAACTATTATTTCCTATTAAGCCATTGTCAGAAAATGGACAATAAGGGCATTTCCGAGGATTTCCTGGATGCCTAGGTGAAAGGTATATGTTGTCTGAGACAAAAGAGGGGACAAGAGAAAATGGTATGTGGGGAAAAGTCACCGAAAGGAATGGCCTAGTCACTCACCTTGATTATGTGGTTTATAAACCTGAGTTTGCTTGTTTGGAAAAGAAACCATTTGTTCAACCATTTGCTCTAGGCCACCTACACAGTCTGTCCTTCACTCAAACCCCCTAAATGACTAGAAGAGCATTTAGCACTCCTGGAAATTGAAAAAAAAAGAAATGACAGATTCATGACTTTGGAAAACAATTTGGGAAAAAGTTTCAAAAGCCATAAAAACCTTTATACCATCTGACCCAGTAATCCAACTCTAGGGAATGTAATTGAGTGAAACAAGCACTATATACAAACATGTTATTTTTTAATATTTGAAATAACAAAAGAAAAGTAAATTAACAGTAGAAGGTACCAAAATACATAGGGTTTATGAAATCAATAAAATATTATATGGTCATTAAAAACATTCATTAGAAGACAACATGGAAAATGTTTAATATTTTAAAACAAAATTATACCCAAACTCTGGGTATAAGTACATAATAATCATATCTACATATGATCAAATATCATAACATGCTATGGAAAATGAAAATGGAAACCTTTTCATGAGTCATTTTGCCTTTTTTTTCTTTTTGTTATAATGTTAGAATAGAAAAGAATATTGGGAGAATATAAAATCAGTGTTTGTACATGAATCTCATTCCCTGAGAAGGGTACTAAATGGGGATAGCTTCTGTCCTGGTCAACCATTTGCACATTCTCTGACCAAAAAAAAAAAAAAAAAATTGGCACAATATTGGAGGTGGAAAATAAACTCATTACTCTTCCCAAAAGAAAAGAAGCTAAATGCCTAAATGCACCTGTATAATAGGAGACATTTAAAATAGGCCTGTGAGATAGCTCTCCTTTGAGGGGAAAAAAAGGAATATTTGGGGAAGTATGAAGTGAGCACATTACAATTAGGAGTTTATTCCAGAGAAGGTCAAACTCTCTTAAGAAATGGCCAGCCAGGGGTCACTGGGACCTCAGTAGTCCTCTGGAGGGCTGCTGCTGCCAGGTTCATTGAGAGGTGGTCCCCTCTCTGATGATTTCTTGAGTTCATCTCAATGTCAACCAACTGTGTGAGCACCAAGAACACACCAGCCAAAGACAAGAGCCTTCGGTCCTAAGGGATCCTCCCAGGATACACTTGGTCCTTGAAAAGACATTTAAAGAAACATATGGATAATGAGGAGATTGAAGAAGCTGCTCAATAGGGTGGAGAAAGCCAGAGATGATAAGGCTGTTTTCCCTCAGAAGAAAACAGTGAGGAGAAGCCACAATTACAGACTTCAAGAAGAAAGTATTAGAGAGAAAAAGAGAGCCACACAGGGAATGGTGCTAGTATAGACCTTCAGGAGGGGTCAAATTGAGCAAGCATGGAACTCACAAATGATTCCCTCCTACCCATCATACTCTCCTTCTTTAATGACCCCTGGATCCACAGTCCCCTGCCTCTGTGTACACTGTGTGCGTGACTCTTCCAACAGAAATAAGAGGCAACCAAGAGAGCAAAGGTAGCCAACTAGATACCAATCAATATCATTTCCTAGTGTTTAAAAAAAGGAGAAACTGAGGCACAGAAAGGGAAATTGTTATATGAGAAAGAGAACCACTTCTCACTAAAGCTGGCAGCCAGGTCTGGGGAGCATGGCCCAGTGGCATCTGCCTCTGGTAGGGGACTAGAGCAATCTGACAAATGCCAGCAACCTCTGACAATGTCAATTGGCTTTCCTAATTCAATTTTTATTTTTTTAACTTACAAAGAGAAAAAGGTTAATGTCATTATCCAGAGTTCCAGATACAATGGGATTATGGAGACCTTTGTCCTCTCACAATGAAACTGTTCCTTGTAGCTCCATGGCACCTAGACATCTCCAAGATTCACTGTGCTGGGAGAAAATGCGAGAAAAGTTGAGAATGCAATGAGTAGGAAGTAAGGAGAAAGGGGACAGAGAGAGCTGAGAAAGGCTGGCAATGAAAATGGAGACCAAACAAGCCATTGCCTCCCAGTGACCAGGCATGGAGGTGAGAAAGAATCAAGCAGACTCCGAACTCCAACTCCAGTGACAAACCTAAATCCTTCCCCCAGGAAAATGGACAAGGTGGACCAACAGGAGCGAGTATCTAGCCAAATGATCTTGGGCAATCAGAAGACAGCACCAAAACAGCAGGCCAGTGCCAACAGAAGGAGGGGAATGTCTCTCCTTCAGCAACCCTGGACACACCACTGCAGGAGCAAAGTCACCAGAGGTGAGTTTGGCATGGGACATCACAAGTCACAAAGCCCACAACAGACAACACTCAACAATGTTAATTTTTTTTCATTCAGTTCTCTGGGATTATGACTGTAGAAAAAGATACCTCCAACTAAGTCTCTCAGAGGTGACTAACACTTAGCACCAGGATAAGAAAGGTGAAGTTTGGGGCTTTAGGAAGCTTTTCCATTACTTCATAGAGGTCTTGTGGCTCCCCCTTCAATCTCTCCCTCTCAAGAATGGGTCCTCCAAATGTGTTATGTGCATTTGCAAAGGAAGAGGAGGTAAAACTTGAACAGGTATAGAAGAGACTCACCATCTGATTTCCCAGTAGCAGTGTGCCCACCCCAGATTTTTAGACCAATAATGACAACTAAAAGCTATGAAATAAAAGGCAACTCCTTAATGACACAATAATGTTGCCAAGAGACTCAGGCTTAGGACATCCAACTGTCTAATCCTTAGTGAGAGTGACGCTCTTAATAAGACCTGTAGGCCTCTGTCCTCCAACCTGTAGTCCTGCCTTCCTGGAACACCATTCAAGGTGAGGCAAGGCTTCACTATGTAGAACATCAGTTTGGGATGGGTCAGGACAAAGGGTGCTTTCCAGGCTGAGAGCAGGATGAAAATAAGTAGAGCAGCTACATCCAAGAGACCAATTCCTGGAACGGTCTCCAGTAAGTGCCACTGCCATGTGCTCGAGCCAATAAGCAGCAGCCTAACTAGGGGGCTCTTGGAAACGGGAGGGTGGCTCTCTTCAACATCCCAGTCCAGTCCCCACAACACCCCCACCAATATCCAACACCCACACCAATTGTGCCAGGATTGAAATACCTCCATTCAGACCATCCACTGCTCTCACCAAAGGTAAAAAGACCAGATCATCCCAGAGAGATGCAAATCCTCAACAAAGACATCCTGGAAGAACCGTAGTCACCATCTCCATCGCCATTGCCTAGAGGCCCAACTACTTTGTGGACAAGAAACAAAGGCACAAGAAGCAGGAAGAAACCATCCACACAGGCCCACAGGTCCCTGCCTAGACAGAGCAAGCAAGGAAGGTACATTAGCAGGAGGCTCCAATGAGGTGCCTACGATGTCTGGATCACCCATGCGGGAGAACCAGGCCACCTGCCTTAAGGTCCAGAAGATTCATGTCCTAAGGTCTTGGCTTTGAGAGACCTATGGATTCCTCCATAATCATAAAGGACAAGCATAAGCCTGAGAAGAATCATTCCACAAATAGATCAGAACTGGCTTTGGGGTGCTGGTGTCTATCTTTGTACCATGAGAGATTGGAATGAAGTTAGCAGACAGAAAGAGATATATATACACAAGGCTACACAGGCAAGACACCTGCTCAGCAGCATTTTCTTCCCACACACACCCCTTTATACCTGCCATCTTTGGTATATACCACAGCCACTGGCACAGAGAAGATCGTTGAATAAATGAAATCCACCCCAAGTTTGGCTCTGATTTGTATGTCTCTTGTAAGGATAGAAACAAGATCCTTGGAAAGAGGACTTAGACTATGAAATGAAGCATTTTAAAGCAGGACAGTATATAGGTAGTGCAAAAATAATTAAAATCTTGGCATAGGAGATGGTAGGACCTAAGAACACTATCTAATCAATAGGAACACTCCAAGCACCCAAAAGGCTTTGAAGACCCAAATCCCTCCAAATTTCTCTCTCTACAAGGCTCAGCTCCATATAACTGGCATATGTGAAAATGAGTTAATATTAACATTTCAGGCAATCACTAAAGGGGAAAAGAAACCCAAAGGTTCTGTAAAGACAGGTCCAATAGAAACACCTCTTGGGTCCTAAACTCACAAATGACTGTTTTTCTCCTTAATCATAGGTCTATGCTAATGATCACACTTCCCTCTTTTAAGTAGGATAACAATGCTCAGAGCTAAATAGGTGGATCCCCTGTAGCAAATATGTAATGAGGTGGTGATATTCATTCTGTATAGTGGTATCTCTTGATTTCATGTTACCATGACCTTTGTTTTCCCTTTGTCAAAGTTTCTTTACCAATTTCTTTTATTAATTTCACTTGTCTCAATCTGTTATAGTATCGCATCTCTATGTGACACTTTAAATCCTTTGTGTAACAAGGCAATGGGTTTTTGTTTGTTTGTTTGTTTGTTGTTGTTGTTTAAGAAGTCATAGAGCCCAGTGAGCAGTCTGAGGGTACCTGGAAAAGTGTGATGATGGCCATTCACTGACTTTGTTCCAGGGATGCAAGGCCCATATGTTTGCTGTGAATGAGAGCCTCCTCCTTTCACTAGCAGTGGCTGAGATAAACTTCCCTGCTTCCCTTACTGGATGCATTGCTAACTCTCTAAGACTCTTTCCAACCCCTAGCAGAATGGGCTCCAAGACAGGTGCCCAAGAAAATGGTCAGACATATGATGGATCAAGAAGAGTGCTGGGTAGCTGAGGGACAGTGACTGGAGAAGGATGTGTGGAAGTTAGCCAGGGGTGGAAAAAGATAAAGAGCATCACCAGTGAAAGGGAATAGAAGGCACAAAAATTTGGAGACATTGTGTGCTAAGTGGAGATACAAAGTTCATGGGAAGAGGAGTGGCAGGACAAAAGGAATGAGAGCTGAGCAGGGGCCTTAACATTAAAGACTTTGCCATCTGGGTTTCTATACTGTAAGCAATGGGGAGCCAGTGAAGAGTTTTAAGTGGAAGAATAACTGGATCACATTTGCATTTCAGAAAAGTGGCTTTGACAGGGTATGAAAGATTGATTGTTTGGAGTAGGGACTGGAATCAAGGTCATCCAGGCAAAATTTAGTGAAGGCCAAAAATAAGGCAACAACAGTGAGGTGCTGAGTGAATTCCAGACATGTTTATGACATAGAATTGATGAAACTTGATAGCCACATTGATATGGAAGGTTTTAATCTGATTCTAGGACTAGACTCACACCATTCAGATGTAAAGAACTTATTAGACAGTGATGTTACTCAAAATAAGAGGTGGCTAGTATTAAGCACAGAGTGAATAGAGCAAAATACTGAATACATATTGTTAGGTAAGACACCCAAGATACCGTCTATGGAGAATGACAATGGCTGGACATATGGCTGTAATCATATTTCTACAAAACAGTATTTACGTGCACTAAAAATCTGGAGGAATATCTTTAGAGAGAACAAGAGTTTGGAAGGATATACACAGAGATATTAACAGTGATTGACTTTATGTCAGTGTTCCTTTTGCTCATCTCCACTTTCTGACCTTTCTACATTGTGGCATTTCCTCTTAGAATATAATTAGAAAAGGTTTGCAGAGCTCACAAAATGAAAAGTAAAACTCCTCACTCTTTAGGAAATTCATGCTCCCTGGGAGAAACTATTTAATACAGCATTAAAGCAACCCCCACCTCCCTGATTTGTGACTGTGGCAGACTCAAAAGCAGCAATGCCGAGGGCCAAAGACAAAGTTTAAGAGGGAAGCATCCATTTCCAGCCCTATTAAAAAAAAAAAATACCCTTCTTGCAAGTGGCCATAAACAGGAAAGTGCCTGATGTCTGGTCATCGATATTGCCAACCCCTTAAGTCCCCCACCCCCAAAATTGATCCCCGGTGCAGCAGATTATAAACGACTATAAACATTTTATTCAAATATGAAAACTACATAAATATCTCATCCATGTATGAACGAGGCAGGAAAAGAACATGAAAAAGTAAGATTTCTGGGCTTATTGGATTTATATCTTTCCACTTATAAAATATTTCTATTGTTATAATGTTGGTGCAATAAAGATTAAAAAAACAAAATCATGACAACTGAAGGAGTGTTTGCAGAAGAGAGGGTTAACTGCACTTTGGTGAATCTGAGCTCCTAGAAGACAAGAATGAATGGAAAGAGCATCGGAACTACAACATGCAGACCATGGCTCAAAAGGCTTGCAGGAAAGTGGAGAGAGGAAATCAAAGATCTTTCTTTCCTAAAGCCAGGGAGTTGTTCATGTATATGTTCAGGAACCACTCAGAACAGTAAAGTGCTCTCCATGGAAGATTTCCCATTGTTAAAGGAGAACTTCCCCCCAGAACATGGGGAATGAATTTTGTTCAATTTGAGCCACAGAATCCTCAGGCCCCACCGATGAAGACAAAGAATCATACAGAAGCTCTGATCAAAATGAGCTTCGATAATTTCCCCTTCATTTATTCCTGTGGAAATTGCTAAACTTGTGTGGCAAGTGAAAAGCATCCCAGTTAGAGGTAGATTATTACCAACTAATTGTCCAAAAATTAAGAACACACAAGCTGCAGGGACAAATGGACCCTCACATGAGGAGACTTCCCAGAAGCCATTCATGTCACTGCCCACAGAGATTTGCCAAGAGGAAGAGCCTCAGAAAAAAATAATGCTGTGGACTAATAAGCTAAGCCATGGGTCAAATAGAGGTCATTTCATTGCCTTTCAGGCCAGAGGGCTGAATCAAACTTTCCAGGAAAAGGGGGAGCAGGAGTTCTTGGCATTTGTAGTGTGACAGATAGACCCACATAGGTGAATATTATGGTCCTTCAGAGAGATTCCAACAGTACCTGAGGATCGATAGAGCCTACAAAGCATCCAGTTCCTACTCCTTAAGGGTTTCTACTC